GCTGTTATAGGGGGATCATGTTTTTTGTCCGTTCGGTACCCTATATTTTCAAAACGGACAAAAAATAGAGCGGACAAAAACGGACAAAAATGGACAAAAACGGACAAAAATGGAAATAACATTTAGATGCTTCCTCCTTCTACTCTTCCTCCTCCTCCCGCTGGGTCTTCCTGATCTTCCTCAGTCCTCTTCCTCCTCCCCTCCTCAGTCCTCCTCCTACTCCTCCTCCTCGTCCTCAGTCCTCCTCATCAGTCCTCAACAGTCCTCCTCCTCCCCAGTCCTCCTCCTCCTGAGTCCTCCTCCTGGGTCCTCCTCCTGGGTCCTCCTCTTCATCCTCCTCCTCTTCCTCCTCAGTCCTCAGTCCTCCTCAGTCCTCCTCCTCATCCTTCTCCTCAGTCCTCCATCCTCCTCCTCAGTACTCCCCCAGTCCCCCTCCTCCTCCTCCTATTCAGTCCTCCTCCTCCTCCTCCTCCTTCTCAGTCCTCCTCAGTCCTCCTCCTCCTCCTCCTCCTCTTCCCTCTCAGTCATCCTCCTCAGCCATCCTCCTCAGTCCTCCTCCTCAGTCCTCCTCCTCCTGGGTCCTCCTCCTCCTGGGTCATCCTCCTCCTCTTCCTCCTCGGTCCTCAGTCCTCCTCCTCCTGGGTCCTCCTCCTCATCCTTCTCGTCAGTCCTCCTCCTCATCCTTCTCGTCAGTCCTCCTCCTCCCCAGTCCTCTCCCAGTCCCCCTCCTTCTCCTCCTCCTATTCAGTCATCCTCCTCCTCCTCCTCAGTTCTCCTCAGTCCTCCTTCTCATTTCTCCTAAGTCCTCCTCCTGAGTCCTCCTCCTGAGTCCTCCTCCTCTTCCTTCTGAGTCCTCCTCCTCCTCCCTCTCTTCTGAGTCCTCCTCCTGAGTCCTCCTCCTCCTCAGTCATCGTCAGTCATCCTCCTCAGCCATCCTACCCAGCCATCCTCCTCCTCCTCCTGGGTCCTCCTCCTCCTCCTCCTTCTCAGTCATCGTCAGTCCTCCTCCTCAGTCTTCCTCAGTCCTCCTCCTCCTCCTGGGTCCTCCTCCTCCTCCTCCTCCTGGGTCCTCCTGGGTCTTCCTGATCCTCCCCAGTCCTCTTCCTCCTCCCCTCCTCAGTCCTCCTCCTACTCTTCCTCCTCGTCCTCAGTCCTCTTCATCAGTCCTCAACAGTTCTCCTCCTCCCCAGTCCTCATCCTCCTCCTGGGGCCTTTTCCTGGGTCCTCCTCCTGGGTCCTCCTCCTCCTGGGTCCTCCTTTTCCTCCTCAGTCCTTCTCCTCCTCCTCCTCAGTCCTCTTCCTCCTCTTCCTCATCCTCCTCCCTCTCAGTCATCCTCCTCAGCCATCGGGGGGATGCAACGTCAATTAATGTCAGTATTCCATAAAAACCCCAAACTGACATTGACATTAATTGACATTAATTGACATTAATTGACATTAATTGACATCAATTGACATTAATTGACATCAATTGACATTAATTGACATTAATTGACATTAATTGACATTAATTTGTCTTGAAATTTGAGATTATCATTATTCGATAAATATTCAAGATATTCACGTCTATGTACCGTAAGTTAGACCGGTTCAAAAAAACAAAATGTCCTTGAATAATTATGAGTATGTTCTTATCTGTTGATCCTTAGGTTCAAAGACCACCAAAAAAAATTTCAGCTTCCAACTCTTCCATCTTCGGTCCCCACCGGCCACGCCCATATTTTATTGGTTTCTTATACAGGTAAAATATCTAGAATCGGCTTTTTTAGTATGAAGGAGTAATGTTAGCTGTTTAAGATTCGTTATTCAAATATAAATGTCATGAAGGCATTTCGTTTAATGTGGGTTTTAAGTTCTGATGATGTTGAGAACCACGCCCTTGGATGGCCACGCCCATTTAAGAAAATTAAATTTCGGAAAACCGTATTATTTTAGTTTTATTGTTTAATGATCTGAATTTTTTCACATTTCACATTTCCATATGTGATAGTAGTGGAAAATTGATGATATAAACGTTCTAAAGTGCTAAAAATATGGTAGAACTACATAATCTCTGGTCGAAAAATATCGTGTCAATTAATGTCAGTATTCCAAAATTTTGCAAAACTGACATTGACATTAATTGACATTAATTGACATTAATTGACATTAATTGACATTAATTGACATTAATTGACATTAATTGACGTTGCATCCCCCCCCAGCCATCCTCCTCAGCCATCCTCCTCAGTCCTCCTCCTTCTCAATCCTCCTCATCCTTCTCGTCAGTCCTCCTCCTCCTCAGTCATCCTCCTCAGTTCTCCTCCTCCTCCTCCTAGGTCCTCCTTCTGGGTCCTCCTCCTCCTCCTCCTCCTGGGTCTTCCTGATCCTTCTCCTCCCTCTCAGTCATCCTCCTCAGTCATCCTCCTCAGTCATCCTCCTCAGCCATCCTTCTCAGCCATCCTTCTCAGCCATCCTCCTCAGTACTCTTCAGTAATTTCAGTACTCTTCAGTCCTCAAAATGTTTGTCCGCTAATGTCCACCAATGTCCATCCAAGTCCGCCAATGTCCGTCCGAGTCCGCCAATGTCCGTCCGAGTCCGCCAATGTCCGTCCGAGTCCGCCAATGTCCGTCCGTGTCCGCCAATGTCCCAAAAAACACGTCCGTTGTCTCATAGAATCCAAAAAGGACAGGACATAGGCGGACATAGACGGACATGACACCCCCCCCCCTTTGAATAGCTTGTGAAATGGTTATTTTGACTTTAAATATTTGAACTAAATATTGACATGGGTGTAGAGTTGAGCCTGTACGGAACTTAGTAGTTTCAGTTCCTTGTTTAACTTGCCGTACAGCAAGGACATTCACTACTTTAGCCCGGCGAGGCACATAGCTCACTCCACAACTCCGTGTCAAATGTTTCATATATACTAGCCAAGAACACAAGATATATCCTTGTGTGTTTGGGAAGCGCTCATTACCGGTCATTACATCATTACTGATGCAGTCAGGCAGAACTGCTTCCTATCCTTTCAGTTTTCCCACAGTCTCTTGAGCTTCGTAACTGCCAGATAAGTCTCTTAAACAATTACTAGACCCGGTGATCATATAATCAAGAGGCTTACATATGAACATATTGACATGGGTGTAGCGTTGAGCCTGTACGGAACTTAGTAGTTTCAGTTCCTTGTTTAACTTGCCGTACAGCAAGGACATTCACTACTTTAGCCCGACGAGGCACATAGCTCACTCCACAACTCCGTGTCAAATGTTTCATATATACTAGCCAAGATCAAATATATTTGATTGTTCATATTTCATATAATATTAGGACAATTTCCGTTATATTACCTGTTTTATTAGTTCAAGAAAACAACAAATTTTCAAGAAAACGAAAAAATTTTTATTTAAATCAATTATAGCAACAATTTGAAAAACTTTTAAGTTATTCTATTACTAAGGAATATACTACAGGTACGTATGGTGACTTGGGCTATTGAGTTGTTAAGTAGATTAAGATGAGTAAACATGCACTTGCATTGTATTTATAAAAACTAGAAATTAGGCTTCACGGTAAAATGGAGAAGCAGCTGCTGATCTTGGAGAGAGCAGACCGTAAAGTTAACGCACCCACCAGGGCTACCTACCTACCCCAGTTGTTCTTTTTGGTTTATCACACAGTTACCTGTGTATTGTGCTCTGCCAATAGCATCACTTGATTTAATTGAATGCATATATATAATATTGTTTGAAACTCTTTCATACTGTTAATCTGAAAAGTACTTAGTACAGTTCTAAATTTGTTAAGAAGATCAAGGATTAAGTTAAACAATAATTATATACAACGTCTAAAGTGACAGTGCGCAGTGTCCCTGACACAAATATTATATGACAAAAATAAGCAGCTCAATTGATTTGTTGCTCTAACCAGAGCCCTCGCGCTTCATAGGGATCAGTTAACCGGGCCCATCATATAATAATCGACCCAACCAATTATATTCATTACCCACTATTAAGGATGACACAAAGTATTAAACAATTTAAATTTAAATGAAACAATCTGCAGACTGTTTCAAAAAAATTGTTAATTGAATGTGCTCCTGGAAGCAATTATCAGTGAGTATAGATAAAAACTTGACTTAAGTATAATATGATATAATATATTACTGTTGTTTACTGTGATACAGGGTAGAAACAAATCCTAGAAAGTATCATCTTTAAACATCAATTCGGACGGTAGTTTAATATAGAACATTAAATATATTACAATTTTGGGCATAGGCTAGCAACCAACTAGAACATGTCGAGTAGCTTTTATTTCAAAATTCAAATAAACTTTACATCAACGTATTACGGTTACATTTTCAAAAGACCACAATATCTCCTATGAGGCAAAAAAACATCGAAAATGAGAGCTATACAAATATTCCTGAGACTCAACACTACCAGACTGCAGCTGGAGTGAGAAACATTATGTAAACATCATTGTAAAATTTATTTTGGCTGAACCAAAACACGGTGGTAAAACATAATTACATTGGTGCAAAAAATACAGAATTTAAATTATTGATAAATAACCAAGAGAAAATATTAAAATGTATACGATACCTTCTTGCTACTACTCCACAGACTTATTGCTGTAATTGTTCACAAGCCAAATAGATTTAATGTTATTATAAACAACAAATGGATGTTGTCAAATGGTTGGCAAAATTGTCTGTAATGCCCAGATCACAATTGCTTGAAACACTTACATGTAAATGAAGAGGACCAAAACTCTGCAGGGAATGTGACCAAAATTGAAATAAAGGTACCTCGCAAGATTTTTTCGAACCTGCAACCTCATTCATATTCTGTGCAGACATACTCTTGGAAACCATTTCATGGTCCAGCTATTTTTAACTCTTTTTTTTTCATCCATCAAGTGTTTATCTTTTGTACAATTACATACATGATATTACATTTTATATTATATTGGTGCTGCACGTTTGCATTTGTATTCATTCACTCTAGAAGCCCAAAAGTAATGATTGATATTGCGGGTTGAGCTTGTATTCATTAAATTGATGGCATTCTTGCCATGTAGTTATGATTGACTGTATTATCTTATCTTTTATGTTACAGTTTGCTGATGTCAATTATCCAGTAATGGTTTTGATAAGTGATTGGGTCTCTGCCCAATTCCTTCGCCACAAGAACAGCTTGAACTTCTCTACCCAGACAGATGATGAATTCTTATCTTTTCTGTTATCAACCGTCAGTAATATTGGTGAGTCATATCAACTTACCTTGTCAATACGCATGATCCCTCTGAGCCTTTTTTAAAAGTGTAAATCTATCAAATTGTCTCCATTTGCACTTAATATTCATGCCAAATAAAATTGATCAACTAATATCATACTATGTAAATTTCGGTAAAGGAGATAATTATTTTCCGTTCATCAAAGCTTTCTTTGGGAATAGAACTTTGAGTACATTAATCGTGTCTTGTGCCATCCTCAGTGACCCTGTAAGATGGTCATTCAATAAAAATTCAGTCAAAACAGTGAAATTTGGGTCGCGGAAAGTTGAAACTTGAATATGTCCTACCGGTAGGACATATTCAAAATTTTCATTGCATCAAAGTTTTCTCCGAACATACTGCTTGCAGTACCTTGATGGCGACTTGTGTCACTCTCACCGACCACACTGATTGGTCACTGGTCAAAATTTCAGTAAAAACCACGTAATTTCAGTCAAGGGGACGGCAGAAAAGCTCCTTCAAAAATCTTTCAAAATCTCTTTTTATATTCTGATGATTTTCCGTTTATCAAAGCTTTCTTTGGGAATAGAACTTTGAGTATCTCAATCGTGTCTTCTGCCATCCTCAGTGACCCTGTAAGACGGTCATTCAACAAAAATTCAGTCAAAACAGTGAAATTTGGGTCACGGAAATTGAAAGCTGAATTTTGAAAATGTTTTGAAAAAACATCAAAGATTTTGAGCTGGAGCCATGCCTGTTCACTGACTATCAATATCATATGATATGATTTTTTTCCACATTTCGGATCTTACTTAAAACTCACATGATACTTTCAGTGCAAAGTGTAAAACCTGTTTTTCAAGACAACAGATCACAAAATGATTCCTCTTTAAGGCCAGGTATATATTACATAGATTAAGTTTCACTTTAAGTTTTATTTTAAGTTTCACTTTAAGTTTCACTTTAAGTTTTACTTTAAGTTTCACTTTAAGTTTCACTTTATGACATACAAATACAATTTATTCATTAAGATAACATTATGCTGAGAAAAGTTATACTTCAATATTCTTTCAAAACAATTATTTTATCTTATTATTCTAATGAACACCAAGGCAGTCCCAAGAGGAGGCTTAATGCCGAGAGATTCCCGACTGAACAAGTTAACAAGCTGACTGATACACTTACATTAACATTATCTGAGGGTGAGTGCTGTTACATAGTCCAAATGTTTCTGTATTTGTGTATATCTTAGTAAGTTAGTGTAATAGAAGTATAGAACACTTTATTCTTGAAGATATATTTTATAATTAGTAGTTTTTTAGGCTACTCTGTTGTATGACTTGGTTTTATCAACTTTTAAAGGATGAGGGGACCTTAGAAAAAGTTTTTTTCTCGTGCAAATCCTTTTATTACATTAATCGTATAAACCACTTTAGTGAAATCCGCAAAGTTGTATTTCATTCGCGAGCCAAAACAATTTGAACCTGTGACGTCAATTATGTGAGTTGCTCTGATCCGCGCATATAGAAATACAGGTAAAATGAGCGTGCGGGCCGACTAAATTACTAATTAAGAATAAATTAACAATTTACGATACTAACGGGCCTATAACCAATGGAGAAGAGACTTTTTATGACCGGTTGAAAAAAGAATTATCACCCTACGATAACCATGAGCCGAGATACACCTGGAATAAGATTGAAGTCACACAGAAAGGCATGTAAATTATGTATATTTATAGCTCCCAACGTAACACCTAGCAACTCCCTGTTTCGTACCACAGTTGATATATCAACATGTCATATCAACACAACACGGTCCTAATAAAAATGGATCGGGTAGGTATGAAATGCATGTCTTCATTCCAGTTGGACAAGCACCAAGCTTTTAAGTTCTAACTCACTATGTGACACTACTTATAACGTAAGCAAGATTTGCAACTATTACACCAAGCAATATTATACCAAGCATAGCAGACGAACACATCCACATTCGTTACGCTTTACACTCAAGTCACAGCAAACTAAAACGGTAAATTATAAATGAGTGTACAACTAAAGGCCGGTACACGCGCAGTGTCAAACCGCACGTGCGTACTCAGATAGGACTAGAGGCGCCAAGGGCCAGCTAGTAAAATGTCTTCTACTACATCATACATTCTTTTTAATTGTGTCCATATTGGGTTTCAAACAAGTCAAAACAAAGTAGCAGTTTGTGGTTTAGTTAGCAGATGCTACTTATCTTAGCTATTTATAAATAGAAATACCTACTTCAACTACAAGAAAGCCTTTCCGAGTTACATTTAACTATTATTATTAAAGAGAATTATTCGTAACTTAGACTAATTCAGTGCAACCAAAGATACCGCTCTCGCAAACGCCAAAGGTAACACGACGTAATTAAAACAGAACAGAACAAAATGTTGACACGAGCAAAGGGTGCGCGCGCACGTTGGTCTTAACACATAAGTGATGTCACAGCCCAAAATTGCTATCAGCCAATAGGAGCGCGGCGTGATATTGCACGAATTATCGATTTCACAGTCCGGCGTATTTTTTGATTCTACACACTTTCACAGGACTTAAACGCGAATATTTGGAAGTAAATTCTAAGGTCCCCTCATCCTTTAAACGTTCCAATATTTCATGAAAATCTGATTGAATAATGAATTGTATGAAGAGTAACACTATTTCGGAGAGCTGCTCAAACCTAAAACTTCGAAACTAACAGATATAACATTCTTTAGATTCGGATAAAACAGCCAGCCCACAACCTCAAACAAAGAGCACCTCAACCAACAGCACCTATATCCTTCCCCAGATACCCCCCGCTAATAACGTAACAAATCCTGGTCCAGCCTCTTTACTTCGAACACCTATCAAAATACCTGATAAAAACTTGGTTTTGACACCAAAGGGAAAGTTTTTCAGTGACATATGTTATGAAAATGACTCGAATCTTAACTTTGCTAAAGGAGAAACTCGCACTTTTGATAAATCAGCTGACTTAAAATCATTTCACGATAAAGATGCCCCTGTGACTGCAGTTCAAAAAGTTAACGTTTATACGCTAAACGAAGGTGAATGCAATGTGAATGAAGAAAAGGAAAATGTTAATACCATGAACGAAGGTGAATACTGTGTAAATGAAAAAAAGGAAAATGTTAATACCGTAAAAGAAGGTGAAATCTGTGTGCACGAGGAGGAGGGAGGTGAAATGTTACAAGTTGCAGGAGAGGTTCATGACATTCGGAGAGTGACAGATTGTCGAGATAAACGCTGCATGTTTTGTCCCAGCTATGATCCGGCCTACGCTTCTGCTATCCACGGTTATTGTTTTGTGTTTTATTTTATCATGAAGCTGATTTCTGTTTGGCTGTAACAGATCTTTAGTATGACTGCAATGTATTTTTTAAACAATTGCGATACCAGCTCACATTCCAGTATTAGTAATATATGGGTATCGTGAGTACAATTGCTATCTTTAACATTAGTTATGTTTGATTGTGAAATCCCCACTATTGAAGTTGTTATTTAATCCTCTATTTCACCATCAGAACTGTTGGATGAAACACTAGATGATGGTGACGATTTAGAACTGTACAAATCAGCGACAGATTCAACAGAAAATGACGAGATAGATACTATCACAAACCTTGTTATTCAGGTGATATTTCTGTTAGCGTTTCCGCAGATTTATTGAGCTGGAAAATCGCCAATCGTTTAAATGGCACGCTGCAGTACCCTGCTGTAGTACCCTGCTGCAGTTCCCTGCTGTAGTACCTTGCTGTAGTGCCCTGCTGTAGTACCCTGCTGCCTGTAGTACCCTGCTGCAGTTCCCTGCTGTAGTACCTTGCTGTAGTGCCCTGCTGTAGTACCCTGCTGCAGTGCCCTGCTGTAGTACCTTGCTGCAGTGCCCTGCTGTAGTACCCTGCTGCAGTTCCCTGCTGTAGTACCTTGCTGCAGTTCCCTGCTGTGTACCCTGCTGCAGTGCCCTGCCTTGGGAGAGGGGGTATGGAAGTGGTATATTGAAATAGGAATGGATTTTAACGTCTGAGAACTTGATAATCAATACAGATCCTTTATCTCTGCTTGATCTCTACTCCCGAAACCATAAAAATGTACCGGGCAAAAATTATTGGTAACATAACGCCTCGGAATTATGACTCTCTCTCGCTCTCTCGCATACTGTAGAGACTAGAGGTCAACCAACATGGTAAAATTACCATGGCATGCTAATTAAAGTAATTACATATTGGTAAATTACGTGATACCCTAAACTGAAAATGGAGACTCTTGAACTCACATAAACTTCTTGTGTATAACTGCATAATTCTACCGTACTTTATACGGATGCGGGTGTTCGTAGTAGGAAATACATACATTATACAGGGTTCAAAAATATGAGTAGATCATTAATCAATTGGCATAGAACCACTGAACGTGTTTATGATACACTCTCAGTTTTTAGTTAGAACGGAATGGAAACATGTCAAGAAAAATGCTTTATTTGGAACATTTAATTTGTGGTTCTTTTTAAACCCTGACCAATTTCTTTCCGCAGGAATGTACAGCAAACAAGATGGCTTTTCCCTCTGATTTACGGTAAGATAATTTGGTGGAAACTATTTCAACGTTGCTTATAAATTTGCCATAATCTAATGAATCCCTCTCTCCAAAACGCGAGCAGTGGTACCATCGCCATGACTACACTTAAACACGTTAGTTTGAACTTATTTCATAACTGTTTGTTAATCCAGGGCAGACAAGTTGGTTCATAACGAATATAAAGGTTCCACCTACATGACAGAAGATGAAGAAAACCAGGTAGCTAACCAACTTATTTACTTGTTGTAACTTGTCAACAGCTAAAAACTCTCAACGAGCGTCGAAATTCCCGCCCATTTATCCATGAAATCCGGAGTCGGCGATTGCGACAAATGATAATTATTTGTTAAAAAGCTGAAATCGACAGTCCTTAGGAACGCGCATTAAAAACGCGCGAGCGGTATTATCATGTGTTTTATCAATATGTGAAATGTATCCAATAAATCAAAATAACAACAATTGTTCTCAAATGAAAAAAATCTAACAAACTTGATTCAATACAACTTGCTTGAAAATGTATTGTACATAGGGCAGTAAATTCTAAACCCGTTCCCCTAATTTCGTTTTCACCTCAGACAGTCTGCTCGTGGCATGACTGGTCCATGATTACAGCAGCTAACGAGACTCAACCTCCAAACAGCCCCACTATAATAGTTCCAAACTGGATCAGAGACTTGTCAGACAAAGAGTTGAGAACACTTTTGATCTCCAAGGGCGCCCTCGTGGGAGCCATATCTGAGACAACACGTTAGGAGTTCAATATTTAAAAATACACCGAAACATATTTAACATGATTATTATATTATGTAGATCAAGATTAGAGTTGAATAAGTGTACAATGTTGACACACACTTAGTATGCAAGGTTTCTCATGTTACATAACACAGCTTCCTACTTTTCCTGTCTGTAGGAAAGTGTTGTTCATGCCGGCCGCACCAAAAATACAATACAATACGAAAAACGTTTCTGAATTTTGCACGATTAATTTCACTTAAAATACCTGTTACTTTGCAGGAGTGGTTTATGAACAATACTTGGTTAAGCTGGACACTAAACCCCTCCCTGAACTTGATAACAGTTTAGATGGCTATCCTAGGGAGCTTATATCTTGTTTGCAAGGTAATACCAAGGATGGTTATAAAGTTTATCTTCCTGTAGTTTAATGTTTATACATTTAAAACATATTGAAATCGCAAACTGAAACTTTCCTTTTCTTACCCTAGATTAACAATTTTCCAAGGCTATCTTTTGAGCCATTATTTGAGGGTCTGATAAGAAGCTTCTGATACACTGAATAGTGAATATGGCACTAACAATACCACTCAGGTCAGCCCCAAGTAGACTGGAGTGAAGCTGAGCGGGAAATGGTGGAGGAGTTCCAGACCCCAGTAGTAGGGAGGCGGTACAGGCAGGGTACTATGAAGTGCTTCTTCAACTACCTCCTTATTGACCCCCGCATTGCCGATGTGAGTTGCTTACAGTGGGGAGGGGGTAATCGCACTATATAGTGACAAGCACTTTATAATAACAGCAGGTGGGGTTTTTGGGGTGGGTGTGTATAATGTACGTGGATTGTAAAGTACAACTGTATTACATTAAATTGAGGTATTTTTCCACATGTCCACAGCATGCAGTATTTAGATACAGTTTGTAGAGTACTGTGGCCCGCCTCCTTGTATGGCCTCGGTCAAGTGCCAGTAACGCAAAGTTCAGCATGCGCATTGCGCCATTCTTACGAGAATAGCTCTATTAAGAATTGTATCAAGAGAAGTATTAAATAAAACAACAATTAAATACATTTTTTATTGAAATCTTTTAAATCAATCAATTACATACAAATTACACAATGGAATAAACTACAAAATATACCTTGAGAGAAATTGTGGATTTGCAAGCTAGTTTACTATGCAAAATACTTAAAATGTATGTAATCAAATCACCAAAACACAGATATCGAGTGCAGATGCAACTCCTGTACAAGCATGGGCCCACCAGCCACCTTAAACGTACCAAAACTATATTAAGACTTTAAGAAAAATATTTAAAAACAAAACAACAATTTACTCAAACGTATCAAAAATATAATCTTCCAGAAAATGTTAGAGTGTTTTACAAAAAAAGCAGTCCAAATTACTAAGCAAACCTCCTGTCATAATGTTATTTACCTCTTTTATCATGGACTCATCAAAAAATAGGAAAGAAAGGTTAGAAGCACCAAAAATTTCACGGTCATAAAACTTTTAGAGCTACTTGAATCAATCTGTAACGTACTGGAACAATTCTTTGCTCTTGGCAAAGCTACACCTTCTGGAAGTTTTGAGCACACTACCGGTCTCCTAGATGCAGAGCATGTTGTGGTGAATTCCTGACGAAATACACCTTGGGTGATCTGCATTCCAAAACCTTTGTTACAAGAAACTGTGATGGTTTCTCCGGGTAGGAAAAATGGTACCGTCTCTTCAAGCAGAATCCTCCCATCTCTTACACTGACATTCTTGCATGGGATATTTTGTAGCGTTTTGAGCTTATTGCCAGTCACAAGATCGAGGAGGGACATTGGAACTCTGTTGAACCAGTTGTCGGAAGTATGGAGGGGAATAATGATAGGTCTAAAGACAGGAAGATGCTGGTAGAGTGACCAAGCGCAAGCACCCCTCTCCGGACACAGCAGGAGATAGTGATTTGCATTTTTACAGGACTGTAATGTAGCTGTAGGGGAATTTGTTCGGGACACGCTCACATCTAGGGTCACAGCCGAGAGACACATGTCTCCAGACATGTCTCCAAACTTTGCCTTCACCGTGACCACGTCACATCCCAAAACTTTGTCCAGATAAGAAGGGATCATTTTCCATTGCGGAGCTCTCTCACAGACTGGACTGAAAAACAACTGATATCCCAGGGACGAGGAACTTTTGGTTTCTGTGTAGTTCACCTCAGCACACATCTTTATATCAGTCCTCTTAAAAATAACGGCATCCTCCTGGCCCATCTTGAAGGATTGTGTTGGATTATACTGTCCCTCCATGTTTATATCGGACCATTCAACATTATCAGTCTGATTACAGTCTTTTATTCCGATCATAAAATGTGACGCATTGTTGGTTTCGTAAATTAGGTTGCTCTCATTTTCTCGGTATAAAAAACATTCGGATAGCCAATCTAGGTTGAAGGAGAAGGTCTCACATTCGGCTTCATACTTGCAGTATTCGTGGCATTCGTTTCCGGGGGTTACAATAAACTGCAGAAAGGGCTCCGACTTAATGACAACGTCATGTTTATAACAGCTGTAGTTCCCCTCTTCACCGTTCACGATTATAAAGAGGATGGTTGCTACTGTTACAATCATTGTTAGTTTGTTAAAAGACAGTTTTAGTCAAAGAGACACTGAACTTAAAGATGCGCACAGAAAAGGGATAATTTCTGCTGCAGTGGTGCTTTTAAGTGCGTGACACCTTCCATTTTTTATGATCTCAGGTCTTTTTTGTTTAAAGTTGCAACCATGATCTGACGTTCTGAAGTTAAATAATACAAAAAGATTCACAAATAATATATTATGGCTTTAAATACTTTACGGAGACAAAATAATCATAAAATCAAAGAAACAACTGAAAGATGCGCACAGAAAAGGGATAATTTCTGACACCTTCCATTTTTTATGACGTCAGGTTTTTTTGTATTTTTTAAAGTTGTAACCTGCATGACGTTCTGAAGTTTGATTAATACAAAAAGATTCACAAATAATATATTATGGATATAAATACTTTACGGAGACAAAATATTTATATTTATAAAAATATATATATGTAAATGTCTTCAAGAAAATTTCGAAATTACGGGCAGTATTTCAAATAACGGGTGAGTGGGTGGATGTGGGTCACCCACATCCTGAAAGACGGTAGATAGGCGGATAAACTGTGAGGAAATATTGGATTTCGGTAAAATTTTTGTGTCAAAGAAGAGATATTTAGAAGACCTGATTATTTCAAACGTTTAGGGGGAAACATTGATGTGCGAGGAAATTTAAAGCTTTCTGGATGTGGGAATATTCATCTATAATCTAAATATCATTTTGAACGCCAAAAATGACAATTTTTAAAATGTCCACTTACTCAAAAGTTTTTCCATTTTAGGTCATTGAGCCTCTCCAGTCTCCATCAGATAAAGCCCATAAGAACTAACTGGTATTTAGTAAACAAAGATCCGTTTCAATTACCAAGAATCCCTTCCTTGTGTCGACGGTATCCATCGTTGTTTCCTCCGTCGCTGATAGATATTTTGTTACAGTACTTCCGCAAAGTGGCCCTGACGTCCTCTCTCTCTTCCACTCCACCACTCCTGAAACGGAGGACCAGCACCACAAACTTAGGTCCCAGAATGGATGCTATTAACGCCACAACTAATATATAAATCATTATTGCTCTCAGCACTGATTTGTTTTTTAGAGGGGACAGTTCATATCCTGTAAGGAACATAACGGAAGAGAAAATGGCGATCAGGGTTGCAGCGAAAATACTGATAGTTTCCCGGAAGTTATGAGGGAAGCTTCTCATGATGAAAGCGTAGTAAAGTGTAAGCAGGAAGAGAAATGCTGGAATGATAAAAGGAAGAAATGTCAACCAGTTGTTTGATGTGCACATGACGTAGAATTCCGTGTGAACCTGTTCTTGTACCATATTGAACTTCCAGACATTGCCAACTTTCAGGACAAATCCTGTTATTGTTAAGTTTACAATCAAGATTATGGTGTTCATTATCATTTGTCCCTTTCTGGTGCAAATTCGATGGAATCTTGGTTTCCTGAAATCATTTGCCGCCGAAAAAATTTGATAAATTTTTATCGCTCTCAAGCATAAACTCGATGTAACCAAGGTAAAAAACGTGGTGTTCAGGATGAATTCCGCTTCGCAAATTCCATCTGAAGGCTTCATAAGGGTAAGTATCAACCCGAAGTTTCCGAAAACTAGTCCCAAGAGGAAGACCCCTAGATATGAAGGATCAGCAGCCTTGATGACCGGGTTATTTGAAATAGTAATACACAAAACCGTCATGATGGTGATGACAACAAGATTAACCCCACTGAACGTGAGTCCCAGAATAACAGAGATTGAAGTTATCTCCAGGTATTCTATACTTGTTGGCAGACAGCCAATGTTATCGTTGGTATTCGTCTCGTTTGTTCGACACTCCTGACACATGTCCTGGTTTGACTGGCTGCTGAAGTGGTGGTCCGCACACATCACGCACTTCCAACAGCAGGGGAAGTTTACCAAGTCCAGGTATATCCGGAACTGTCCTGGTCCGCAGGTTTCTGAACAGGATTGTTGTTTTGGTGTAGATTTGAGGTTCTGAGGGATTCTCTTGTTCACCAGTTGGATCTGAAGATGAGAAGAGTAACCTACTATAGTAGATTTAGAAGAGTTCCCAGTCACGGTAAGAGCTTTAACCGCATACCCCTTCGAGTAGGACCTGTTAACAAACGCTACACTCAAATCTGTACCTTCTAAAGACACGGTGTGATTGCCCGAGGTTATTGCTGTGAAGACCTGATTCCTTAGTTGAAAAAGGCAGGAATGAGGAATGTTCTGTTTGATTACAATGTCTAGTGACTGCGCTAGTAGGTAAGTAGCAGTCATGGAGTGTCCCAACCAGCTACTGAATTTGCTGGTCTTGAAATTCCTTCGTTGTTGAATCTTCTCGTACCTGAAAATAATATGATATGCCATTATGTGGATTTTAAATGTAATCTTACAGTTGCGCCAGTTCGCATCGAATCCTGATTCTTGTTCAAATCTAATCAGTCCAAAGTATTTTAAACTCATCTGCTGACAGCTGAACTATGATTGATGATAAGCAACTCACAGATCAAGGAGTGGCAAATTCTCCGGGACTCCACGTAACAGATTAGGATCGCTGAGCTTCCTCCAGAAACTTCCTAGCTTGACATTGAGGAAGTCCGAACCCATGAAGACCAAGGTGTTGGTCACAGTTGAACTTGCATCAATCACACTGAGATAATAATCTAGGTAGATATCACGTCCGTTGCTGAAACCGAATAGGAAAACCGTGTTATTCCACTGTAACTGGTTAACTGTCAGGTTCAGGAAGTCGTATCCTGATTTCTTGTTGTTGAAAAGTAAGAGCTGAACTTTTGCAGGCCCCACTGAAATATATATAAGTTTTAACCAAACAACCGTCATATGTTTTATTTCGTTTGATACGCGAATTCTGGGTGATTCAAGTTAAGGTTTCAACAATTTAACCTGTACTGTTGCTGTAAACCTCCGGCAAGATCTTGTAGATTTCCATACCTGAGGTACTGGTAAACTCGTTGATACGACCACACCCGACCTGTAAAAATTACATTTTCATTATTCTAATGTGCTGGAATAATGGTGCATTCGTACAGGAAAAGAACACATAAGGGGGAATTCAAATCTTTGTAAAACTGCATCAAATTGTTTGT